GTGTGTGTGTGTGTGTGTGTGTGTGAGAGAGAGAGAGAGAGAGAGAGACAGAGAGAGAGAGATAGTACCAGGGAGAGAGGAGAGGGAGAGAGAGAGAGAGAGAGAGAGAGAGAGAGAGAGAGAGGGAGAGAGGGAGAGAGAGAGAGATAGTACCAGGGGGCTCAAACTCAGGCTCAAGAATAGTGCTCTACTACTTAAGCCAGTATTTTAAGGTAATTAATACTGGTATGTTTATATGGGTATATTCACATCTATTCTGGAAGGAAGGGGCTTTTAATTTATTGTACAGATCATCAGTTCCCATTGTTTAGGCTTGTAATGTCTCTTTGACATTTGTATATATCTTTTGCTCAAAACAATGATCCTTAAGATCCTGAAATACAATGGATGCCAATGATTCATCCCTGTAATCATAGCTACTCAGGAAGTTGAGGTCTGAAGATCTTGGGCTGAAGCCAGGCCAAGCAAGAAAGTTTATGAGACACTTATCTCCAATAAATTACCAAAAAAGCCTGAAGTAGTGCTGTGGCTCAAATGGGAGAGTACTAGCCTTGAGCAAAAGAACCTCAGGAAGAGCACCCAGGTCCTGAGTTCAAGCTCTAGGACAGGCAAAAAAGCAAGCAAGCAAGCAATCAGGGAGGGAGGGAGAGAGGGAAGGAGGGAGGGAGGGAAAGAAAGGCAGGGAAGAAAGAAAGGAAAGACAGACAAGAAAGAAAGAAAGAAAGAAAGAAAGAAAGAAAGAAAGAAAACAAACGTACAGTAATTAACTAGGCTTGGAAATTTATTTAGTTCTTACTGAATGAGTATAATCATGAAAACTTGGGTAAAACACTTCATAAGTTTAACTGGATGAATCTTAAATTTAATGAATTTTAGATGTGACCTCTCAAAATGCATTCCAGTACATGTGGCAACTAAGGTCTGCTCGCTGTCCTGGTTAGAGTCTGAGAATACATCTGGAATCAAGAGGAAGAGTTCTGTGACATTGAGAGCCCACTGAACACAGTAGTTGCAGACAACACAAACCATCTACAGGAGTAGAATACTTATATGGTTATCTACCCCCCCCCCACCAGACACCTCCAATAATATGAAGTTCATACTTAGCCAGGCACTTGGTTCTTTACCATAGCCAAGATCCTCCTTTCAGGATCTTTACTTACTAGTACACATTCTGTTACTCAGAAAACACCCACAAGATTTTATTATTTTCATTTGATCCTCACAGTAATTATAGTTTTGGCCACATCAGTTAAGAAGATTTCACGTATATGAACCACTTAAAAAACAAACACATGATTAGAGTATTTTTACCTTGATTTCTCTGTGTAAAGATTGAACTTCAGTGGATAATTCCACCGTCTGCTCTTCCAGTTGCTGACGACGTTGTAAATTAGTGGCTATCTGAAGTTTTTCTGACTTAAGCTCGTTTGTCATACTTTTTAGGTGTTGAATTTGTTCTTGCTGGTCCTGTATGAGCTTACGATTCAATTCAATCTTACTGGAAACTACACAAAAATATAGACATAGGGATTAATCTAAGGAAACACTAAGGATGACTGGAATTGCCCAGTTAAGTTTTATAGAGCTATGAAACTCATGAAGGCTAAATTTCAGTGGGCCCACAAGAGTGGGACAGAACCCCTCCAGTCCCAGCAGGCTTGCTGGACCTTCCTAGCCAATCACTGATAAAAGTTCACTGGGAAAGTAGGTATGACTGAGAAAGAACTCATCTGAATGTCTCCAAACATCCCATATATCTGCTGTGCACAAAGTTAAAAAAAAAAAAAAAAAGAGTAGAAATGCTTTTGAGGGAAGAGAAAGAATATACTGGGGCTGGAAGAAAGGAAGCGTTTTGTTCATGAACTATGCATGAAATTCACTATAAAAAGCATGTACTGGCAATGTTGAAATCTTTATGGATAAAAAGGAAAAAGACTATACTACCTGTATCTAATTTGTGTTGTTTTTCTTGTTTTTCCTGGTTTACTTGTTGAACAGTTCGATCCAAGTCTATTCCTTGTAGCTTAGCTGCTTGTTGTGCAATTTTTCTTTCAACATCTTTTAGTTCCATCTTAATAGAACATTAAAAAAAATAGGAGGAAAAAATAGAAGTTATTTTATCTAAGAAACCTACTGTATCACCTTTGCTTAAAGTGAAACTCTAATAAGGTAAACAAAGATAAAATGACTAAACCAAATTTCTTCTGCTTTAAAATAAACTTACCTGGAACCTCTCCATGATTGTAACATCTGTCAAACATACTTTAGCACTTTCTTCTTCAGGTATTATTGTACCCAAAAGAGTTTCTTGCTCTTCTATATCATTCTTTAGGCGCTGTATGTCTCTATTGACATTCTGAAGTCTATTTCTTAATTCTGGTATTTCCTTCTCCTTCAAATCAATTATGCTTTGCCTTTGGAGAAAACACATAAAAACAATCTATTTGCCAGTGGTTGACAACTGTTATCTTTGCTACTCAGGAGGCAGAGACCTGGAGATCTGAAGTTCAAAGCCAGCACAAGTAGAAAAGTCTGTAAGATCCATCTCCAGTTAAGCAACAAAAAGTGAAAGAATAGTGCTGAGAGCCAGAAAGCGGAGCAAGGGCGTGACATCTTGATTTCAAGCCATAGTACAATCATCTCCAAGATAAAACCAACACACACCAAAAAATGGCATTTTAAAAATAAAGTTATTGTATTTCTGTATAATTAAAAATATCTTGAGAACATATAAATATCCTGCTTCTTAAAAGTTTTTCCCACTGATTTTAGCACCCATTGACAAATTTTTTTGGGAATAATTACTACTGGGGTGTTTGTCAAACTGAGAAATTAAGTCTACCAGTTGATCATATTCATCATACTCATCTGGTTCATAAAGGGCGAATCAAAGCAGAGAGGGGAGCAAAATGGTGGATTGAGAACATTTACCATTTAAATTCTATGAATGAGAATAATCTGGTAAAGCAACAGATTCTGAGGGGGAAAAGAGTAAGAAAAGAGAGGGCCTAGGAAGGTGGCTCAGTGGTAGAGTGCTTGCCTTGCATGCATGAGGCCCTGGGTTTGATTCCTCAGCACCACATAAAGCAGAAAAAGGCAGAAATGGCACTGTGGCTCAAGTGGTAGAGTCTAGTCTTGAGCTGAAGAGCTGAGGGACAGTGCCCAGGCCCAGAGTTCAGGCCCCACGACCGATGAAAGAAAGAAAGGAAGAAAGAAAGACAGAAAAAGAAAGACAGACAGAGGGAGGGAGGGAAGGAGGAGGGGAGGAAGGGAGGAAGGGAGGAAGGAAGGAAGGAAGG